CTTTTGATATTTTTGTGTCAATGAAATAATATGTTTCAAAAGAAAGTGTTTTTACATTCACTAAAGAAATACAACATAAAAGCTGGATTTACTCTGCAGTATAAGAGTTATACTTCAAGTAAAAGTAGAACCATTTCCTAAAGCTTTGAAAATTTTCATTTTATTTAAGCTTCAACTTTCTAGAAAAATAATTACCAAAATATTGTACCTAATACTGTTAATATTATCATTTCAGGAAAATTGAACGTAMAATTTATTATAATATGAAACCAAAATAATATTTTATTTCTTTGATAAAAATATATCATTGGTTTACGATTTGATCATAAGTGCACTTACAAAATATTAAACATAATATTATAAATTTATAAATTACCAGATGGATTTGTTCAACTAGGTACYAAGTACCAACGGTATAGAATAATATTGAAAACATTTTAGTAGATATATATAGTCATTAAACTAATTTTCTGTCATAATTTTGGGTCTTTTTTTACACATAGTGATTTTGATTATGTTTTATTATTTTTTTAGTGACAACATGAATGAATGAAAAAACATAAACATTTGTCAACAAACTTTTTTTTGAATATTTAATCAGAAGAATATGTCGATGAGCAATTGCTGATTAATGTTYATCAAACATTGAATGGATGAGAGTTGAAAATGATTTTCATAAAATAAAAGTCTATTCATACTGCCATCAAATGACAAAGGTGGATAAGTTAATGAAAATAATTAACTCAAGTTAGGTTAAGTTAACAGGACACGTGATCGATAAGTTAAAAGTTAATAGGGAAAAAAATATTAAATTAACTCAGTTTAAAAAAAAGTTAATCTATTTATTTTTAAACTATAAATAAATAAATAAATTATAGTATAGGTACCTATGTAACTCACACAAAGAGTGACTGTGCTTATCTTTACTCTATAGATTAAATTTGCTATAGCAAAATATATCAATAAAAAATAAATTATTTCATCAAGATAAAGAACAGAAATGTCAAATGTTTGTGTTATTAATTTTTACAGTATTAGATTATTTTTATTTTATATTAATAATATACCTATTAAGTATTAATATTTAGTATTTACGAATAAACGAAAAATTTCGAAAAGTTTTACCTTTTAACTAGTTAATGGCGTTAATGCCCACCCTTGTTGAATGGTATCAAAGGTAGGTAGTGGGTACCGTGGTTTTGTCGAKGGCTACACTTTCGTGGGTARGTACATCATGGATTGTMAGAATAACAAACAATTTTCGTTTACGTTTGGCTGGTAAAGCCGAGGAAATAATGTTAGTTTTAAGGTTTCGTWTCTTTATTAGTCGTCCGGAAATATGTACCAAAAACCGTTTTAAAAGTAATTAAATTTTTACAAGATGGCCATTCGTAATACCGCATCGTAGTGATGGCGTAATGTAGCTGTAGGWAGCAGTGATTTTTTCACACGGATTCCAAWGTAGCAGTCACAGACTGCTGTTACTCAGATTGTTGATTGCTATTTTTTTCGTTTTTTTATATTTTTTTTTTCATATATGGGGYGCTGTTGATACTGATACTATGAATAATTAATGTGGTAGGTACGCGACTGTGAAATTTGCAATTGATATTTTAGTGATATTATCAGAGAAAAATATTAAATAGGTATGRATGYATGATTTAAATAACAAGTAGCGACTTAGGCTAAATATCATTATTTTATATGTTAAATATCATAATACGAGAAGTGGCCTGCAGTCACTGCTATTTTCACTGCTACTCATAGACGCAACTAGGGTCAATTTTTTTTTTTTTTTGGGTTATTTACTGATATTT